AACAAGAGAGCCTGGAGATTGACATGACACGACTGCAGCAGAAAGGCATTGAGATGAGCAGTTCCAACCTGGGCATGATAATCACAGGTGGGGGTTCCTGCTGCTGCTCTTGGGAGGGTCTGAAGGGACTGACCTTCTAGAGAGGTAGTTTATAACACCTTCAAAATACTTCATTTTTTTTAGAATTTTGAGCTTGGACTATCTTTAGAATTTCAAGCACAGCAATTCTGTGGAAAGCTGTGATTTTAGAAAATGCAACATTCTGAACCTTCCTTCTGTTCTTTTCTCTGTTCCAAGTAGCAGGTCTCCTCTGGAATGGGGAACTGCAGTTAGACTTTGCCACAGAAGAGGCTTATTCCTCCCACAGATAGCCTAGGAGCATGCATCATTCTTTTCTGTTATGTTAAAGTATTCCATAGTAAAGCTCCCAGAGTCCCTTCAAACTCTCACTGGGTTTGGGATTTCATCACCAAACCAATCCACAGGATTTCAGTGGAGCCACACGTGTGTGTCAGGGGTGTTACGTTTCTGCACTCCCTGAATCTCTGTTGGCCAAGAGAGCTCAGTGAAGAGAGGGAGTCCCAGCCGTGCTGTGTGTGAAGTTGTGGCAGCCTTTGGCAGAGCAGCTGCTGCAGCTGTGTCTCTCCCCACAGGGGTGGACACCATGGCTAACTACGAGGAGGTTCTGCACCTGATCCGCTACAGGAACTGGCACACGGCGTCTCTGTTCGACAGAAAGTTCAAACTGCTCTGCTCGGAGCTCAACGGCCGCTACGTCAGCAACGAGTTCAGAGTGGAGGTGTGTGAGCAGCTCCTCCCTGCCAGGGGCTTTGGGGCCTGTGTGGAGGTTGTTCATTGATCAATTATTGATTCAGATTTTGTCCTGTAAATAAATATTAGGAAATGTGAGCATTTCAGAAAATATTTAATATATAAATGTGGTTTTAGTCCTGTATTTCAGCTTGAAATAGAATTGTTGTTTGTAGAAGAAATGGCTAATGGAGGTGTGAAGGTGAAAACCTTGCATTGAAAACACAGATTATTAATTAGCAAATGGAGTGAAAGTGGTGCTACCAGAGAACTGAGTGGCCTTTGTGTGTCACTTCCAGGAGGCCACAGCTGCACGTGCTGGGCTCTTCACTGTTTTGCTTGTGTGATGTGTCAGTGTCTGATACTGAGGGATTATGTTAAAGCACAGAGAGGATAAAATGGCATTTTATTTGCAGCAGGGTACAGGTTAATCGTTATTTCATATGCTTACATCAAATATATGGAAGTACAGCAGAAAGTGGCATTAAAGGCACTAAAATTTAATTTTTTTTCTCTTTATTTTTATCTCTTCAGAATTCAGAAACTGTTGTGTTTCTGGAGTTTAACACTTTCTGTTTGTCTCTAGGTGAATGTTATCCACACAGCCAGCCCAGTGGAACATGCCAATCACATTGCTGCACAGCCTCAGTTCATTCACCCAGTGCATCATTCCTTTGTTGATCTCTCCGGTCACAACTTGGCAAACCCTCATCCCTTTTCAGGTCAGGATTCTCAGCTGCTGAAGCTGAACTGGCTTTTTGTGGTGTTGCAGAGTTCTTTTCCCAGAGTTCAAACCAGTGTGTTGGACTAATAAATCAGGCAGCTGCTCAGTCCTGTTCTGCTGTTGCCCAGACAGAGAGGAGTGAGATTTCAGAACCCTGTGAAATTCCCTTTCCTGCCCAGCAGAAGAGATTTCTGTTGGGGTGTGTGTGTTGGAAAAGGGGAGGAGACTGCAAGACCTGCAGAAAGTGAGGAACTGGGACAGAATTTCTTGTGAATGGCAGGAGGAAAAGATGGCAGTGCCATTCCTTTGATGAGTCACAGTATCTGCCCTTTCTGTTTTAATTACATTAATTTGGCATGGGTGTAGGATGTGAGGAGAAGAAAAATAAGCAATTGAGAAAGGAGTGTGGATGTGGTGGAATGTGTTTTCCCTGTGTTTTCAGTCCTTCAGATTGATGTAATTATATTTAAGGAACTGAGTCTCATTGTTAATTTCTTACTGACTTTTTGCATGGCTGAAGACAAACAGCCTTTGTGTAATACATATGAAATATAACTTAACATGGAATACTCGTGTAAAGCCATTTTCCCCAGCAGGTGATGATGGGAAGGGGAGTAGCTGTTAGCACAGTGTGAGTTACCACTGCTGTGTGTTCTGGCTGCAGTTGTCCCCAGCACAGCCACGGTGGTGATCGTGGTGTGTGTCAGCTTCCTGGTGTTCATGATCATCCTGGGCGTGTTCCGCATCCGCGCCGCGCACCAGAGAACCATGAGGGACCAGGACACGGGCAAGGAGAACGAGATGGACTGGGATGACTCTGCTCTGACCATCACTGTGAACCCCATGGAGGTAACCCTGGGGAGCTGCTGGCCTTTTCCAGCTGGAATGGCTGTGGTTGGCTGTGGGCAGAGGAGAACCTGAGAACAGGGCAGAGACATTACCTGGGGATTTAGAACGAATGTGCCAAATGCCAAGAGCGCTTGTTTGGGATCTTGCAGGGGTTAGAGTTTCATGTTGGAGAATGGGATTTTACATCCAGCATCCGGCACTAGTGTTCATCATGTGCAGAGTGCCTTAAACAGAGCCTGCTTTTGTCTAAACTTGCAGGAATTTATTGCCAAAACATCTGTGTTTATGATGTTTCCTTCTCCTGTGGCTGACATCTGAATTTTTAGAAAATTTGGAACAGGAAAGATGTGTGCACTTCATGTTCTGTGTCTATTGTAAGATCCTTTTCCAGTAGAATTTGCAATCCTGGATCCTCCTTCACAACCACTTTGTGTAGAGTGCCAGGACTGACAGCAATGTCACAGAACTCTTTTACAAAGTGCTACTTCCTTTGTCTTTTCTGTTTCTGCCTAATTCCTGCTGAACTTCTAAATCCAGCAAGGAATCTGCAATAGCTCTTCCTCAGTATAGTGACTTGAATAAAGAATAAAAAGAATTTTGGCCAGTATGGTAATGACAGCTAATTTTTGTCTGAACAGACCTATGAGGATCAACACAGCAGTGAAGAGGAGGAGGAGGAGGAGGAAGAAGAAAGTGAAGATGGAGAAGAAGATGACATCACTAGTGCAGAGTCTGAAAGCAGTGAGGAGGAAGAGGGAGAGCAGGAGGACCAACAGAATGTTAACAGACAGCAGCAGCTGGAATGGGATGACTCTACCCTCAGTTATTGATTCTAGCTGCTCCCTTTGTCTTTATGTTCCCGCTCTAGAAGACTCCACTGTAACACACTCCATTGGTACCAAGGATTCATGGTGTTTAAAACAAAAAAAATCATTCTGGCCAGTAGATTGAACCCCCCACAGCCGTGTTTGTGTTCTGTCAGCTAGTTCCCGATGTTTAGGGTTGTAGTTAGCACCTCTTCCTTCAGCCATGCCTCAGTGACTGGATTTTTTTACGCTCTGTGAGAACCACCTTGCACTTTTTTCTTCGTGTCATCTCAGCTAAGTGACTCTACAGCTCTGTAGCCGTTGCACATTATTTTCTGAACTATCTTTTTTTGCTCAGTGAAACAAACTTGGCTTTGTTCCTTTTTCTCTTTCTAAAAGATGCAAAGATTGCTTGTTGACAAAGGGTAAAGCTGCTCATTTCAGCCTGTTGATTTCTTTTAATTTTTTTCCCCAAATTAGTGCATGTGTAAAGTGGCAGAATGAGGTTAATATGTAGAAGATTAACAAGACTTTTTAATATTTTGTAAATATATTGGAATTATGTAATTATGTCATTTGTGGTAGTGAAAACAGGGATTGGGGTTTAAAACATGCTAAAGTGAAAAATCATGCGGCATGAACTATTCCAAGTCTCATCCTACTGCAGCAGGAGCACGGGCACAGTTCTTAGTGTAGATGTTCAGTAACTCTGTCTTGGCCTTGACTGCGATGTGCGCTCATGCCCCGCTCTCCTTGAACTCCTTCCTTTTCTTTCACCTCCTTGTTTTTGCAGAGGGAACAGACAAAGCTTGTGAGAAGTTGTAAAGGCTTTAGGAGCCTCTGCAGAGGCTCAGCTCCCCTGTGCACTACAGTTTGGTTTTAATTTTATTTTTTTTTTCTCCAATTAAGGCTTGCCATAGAGGCTTTTTTAAGTTATTGGGGAAATAACACTACGTGTATGGTGGGGTGTGGCCACAGCTCCTGGTAGTTCCAGGGAGGGTGCCTGGGGTCCAGTGTGGGCTGTGCACACTGCAGACAGGTTTGGGTGTAGGGGAAGTCTGACACCTGGGGACCTGAGCACCTGGGCTACCCTTCTACATGAACAGGGGTTTGGGGTTTTTTGTTGTTCATTTCTTCTAATTTGGAAGTGGGAGGGTTTGGGATGTAGCTGATACCACTGAACACTCCTGCTCCTCCCCTGCAGCCCCTTGTACAGTAATTCCGATTGTCGGTGTTTTAAGCCTTTGTTTACACTTGGTAATTGTGTTTTCCTGCTGGTGAAAAACTGTAGCATAAATTATCCAACCAGAAAACCTTGGGAATCATGTTAATTCATGTGATTTGGGTTGTTTATGATCCCAGTTCCAATTTGGGATTGCAGAGGGCAGTAGCTGGAAGGTACAAATGTGGGGGGTTGTTTTTTCTCTCAGGCAGGGTTGTTTAACTTCATTTGGTCTGATGCAGAGTGGTGAATAATGAATTTCTGCTTGATCTCTATGGAGGTGGATTAAAGAGTAACTTGTTCTGCCTGTAGCAGGAGCCTGGGGCTGCATCCCCTCCTGAGCACGGTGAGCCAGCGCCAGCGTTCGCTCGTGGGTGTGGGTGCAGAGCCCAGAGAGCCACGGCCAGGCCAGGGCACGGCCAGAGAGGGGCACGAAGGGTCCCGAGTACCTGGGGGATAAAAGATGGGGTTGAGCCACCTGTTTGTACAGCTGGATTTCCAGAGCAGCCCCGCTGAGGGAACTGAAACATCCCTGCTCAGCTGGACTCCCAAACACAGCACGGGAATGTAGATCCCGCCGGGATCGAGGGGGGTTTGCTCTGGGGGAACTGAGGAGTGCCTTTACAATAGAGATGGACCTGGCAGCAGGGAAAGAACCCACACCAGAGCTTTCTGTTTTTTGGGGTTGTTTTTGGGGTTTTTTTTAATGTAAATTTTAGATTTCTAAAATGGGGAAATGGTTTTGACTACTTACGTGGTAATTAACTGCTAGTTTTAAGTAAACTGGGAAACTTTTAACTTATGTCTGACAGTTGTCCTGTGTTAATGTGTAGAAGACTTATCCTTCCATATACTGTTGCTGTAGCTGCTGTATTTTAGACCAAAACTGATCATGACTTAATGGTAATTCTGAGGGGTTGTAATGTCCTGATGCAGTTTGTAGCCACTGTGGGTATAACTTTTCAGATGTGTATATTGGTAACAGGTCAGTTTGGAAAGTCTATAAGCTACAATAAATTTCTGGTTCTAAAAGTTGTTTGCATTTTTTATTTTACTTAGTGAAACAAAGTAGAACCCAGTTACATAAATGGTGTTAATTTGCCTCTGCTGGGGGAGTTTTGTGGCTATTGCTCTCAAGCATAGAAGGACGAGGCAGCATTTGTGTATAATTTGTCCATATCTTTTATTTCTTATTTACAAAACATGTACCTAAAGCAACCGAAAAGCTAAACATGTAAACATTCTCTTCTTGCAGAACCACGGTTTGGCTTAAAAAAATACTTCTTTTTTCAAAGGCAACAGAATAAGCACAATCAGTTTGTACAGAGTTAAAAAAAATTAATGACAGAAACATCTCTAAATAAATAGAAATAGGTCTATCATTCTGAACATATTTATAAAAATGAGAAGCCACTTGTAATGAAATGGAACATTTTTGAAAATTATTTAAGTTTCAATCTTTAGTACAGTTCAGCTTGCTGAAAACCATCAGGTGAGCTGCTGCTTTGTGAATTTGGAGTCAAAGGCTCTTTGCTGCCCCAACAGAGCTGTCAGAGATTTATCCAAGATACTCTCCCAGGGTGTACAAGGAAGAAGGTCCACATGATGACCCACTGAATTTTTTACTGCTTGTAGGTAAGTCAAGTTTTCCAGACTAAGTAACCTCTGTAAAACTGTGCTCAGCTCTTGCACTTGATACTGATACACCTTTGTGTTATTGCACTTGCAAAGTGACGGACAGGAACCACTGCTCTAAAACTGGTGAGGGTCTGACCTTTCTGTGAGCTGGGAGGAGAGCAGGGTCCCAGTGCTGCAGCACCCTGAACACCAGGCTCTGGCACTGCAAGAGAATTGCTTTTCCAGCTCTGGAACTGTAGTGTCTTCCCTTCCACAAGAACCTGATTGGGGTGTGGTTTCAGTGCATCTCACCTTGCACAGGGCCCAAGATTTTTTTGCATACTTTTTGCTCTGTACATTAGTTTAATAAGCAAGGAAATAGCAATATTTACTCTCTAAAATGGAGCAGAGGCACAGGACTGTTTCTCACTGAACAGCCTGCACTGAGCTCTAAATCCTGCAGCATTTCCCTCTAGTACCAAAGCAGCTGTCAGAGCCGGAGTGCTTCAGTCACAGTATTGTCTGAAGGTGGAGGGAAAAGGGTCTCCCAGGGTTAGATTAAATTAAAATGAGGTGTCTTCTATGCCAGAACTGCTGCTTCTACCAACAGCTGCTTGAGAGGCAACAGGGTTGTATGAATAGATCCAAACCAGAACAAACCTCACAGCTTAACATCTTTTATGAAAAGAAGCAGTGAGTACGTTAATTTGAAAATGCAGTCTTAGCATTGTCAGGTTTGAAACCAAAATAAATGCAGGAATTACTTAAGGTTTAACTAAAGCCTAACTTTGGAAAGCAAAATGTCTGATCCAGTGGCCACCCCAAAGCTGCTCTTGTGCCATCAGTTCTAGACAGCAGGAGCTGAGTTCCAGCTCAGTTTCAGAACACTTTGGCCTCTGGAGCAGACAGAAAGCAAGATGCCAGTGTGGATGTTTTTATCCTGTCTTGAGACAGAGTAAAAGCATTTGTCCAAGTCAGCTTTGGTGTGCTTTGAGCTGACCCACGTCAGTGGACACTGACAGGGCAGGAGGAGTGACCACATGCCATAGTTAATGCCTCTAAGCTGTAACAGTGGTGACCTAGAAGATGGGCTACAGACACAGGGAGATCTCTGCTCAGCTAAATTTTCAAGAAAATAGAAATGCAGCCATTAGCACACCAGAGGGATGTTACATGTGCCTCGACTCTTCCATTGAAACATGTATTTGAAGCTCAAGGAGTTCTCAAGGGTACAGTACCTTTACCTACCTTTACTGTATGCAGTAGTTTTATTGCCTCACGTCTCTCCCTTGTTCCCCAAGGATCTGCAGCAGCCACAGTGGTGTGGCTGAGGACAGGCCAACAGGTTTTCAGTCATGCAGCAATGTCTGATGTCTGGGAACGAGGTGGGGGAACTTCCACACTGCACCATTCTTCAGTCCTCAGGAGCCTGTGTGTCAGAGCTGGGCTCGGGCTGTGCCATCCTCCTCAGCTCCTGCTCTACTGCCTGTTGTCTTTGGATACGTTGTGTGCCAGCCAGTTCACTTTGGTTTTCCAGCTCTCCCGCAGGGCTTCATTAAACTTCAGTCTGAAGTGTTTCAGTGCCTCCTCATCGGTTTTCCCAAGGGCCAGGGAGTCCTGGAGGCAAGAGGCACAAATCAGTGCACAACTGAACCAGTCACTGCTCAACCAGTAGGCTGTTTATTCATAAAAAATTACTCCATTGAAAGGAGGAATGGCATAGCCATCAATTGTTTTTAATTGTTCCTGTAGCTGCAGGAGGTTTTTTCTCTGATAAACACTTGCACCCTCTGCTTCCACTGGTGCAGAGAAAGAGCAGATTCTGTATTGCTCTTGTACAAAGTGTTCTGCAGCTGCCAGGAATGGGTGGTCGTGACGCAGGAAGCAAACAAGGAAATGAGAGCCAAGGGGTCTCTGCCTTCTTCCCTGCAAGCTGGCACCTGCTCACTTCATGATGAAGAACCTGAGCACCAGGACCTGGCATTTCTGATGTCCTGCACATCCCCTCACTGTTCCTGGAGCTCATCTGCTTCTAAGACTCTGGCCTTGCACACTGAACTCCTCCTCAGCCAGCCACAAAAGCAGGTGTTCACTTTTCACCCCTTACCTTTAGGTACTGGATGTCTTTGGAGCAGCTGAGCTCTGGCAGCCCAGCAGCTTTCATCAGTGCAAAGAGGTGCAGGAAGAGGAGCCCGTGGCGCCGTAGGATCATGTAGGCCCTTTCACAGTAACCCCTGAACCTGTGCAGGAGCAAAGAGCAGCCAAAGGAGTGAAGACTGCAAATCTGACCATTTTGTAAAGCAAAGCTACATAGTCTGAACCCTGCTCTCTCCAGTTAATAATGTATTTACTTTCATGTAGGCTGCATAGTGATGGAAATAAATACTGAAACTTTAGAGCTTCAAAAGCTGACATTGAGTTTAACTCCCAGCACTTACCTTTCAAACTTCTCGTTGTTGTTAGTTTTTCCTTGCTGGATGACATGCACAAAGTCATAGGTTAAGATGAAAGGGACTCGTTCTCTATTAATACCAAATTTAGTCTTGAAGTTCCCCAAAAAGTGACCAAAATCAATATGGAACAGCTGCAAATAAAAAAAAAAAAAATCAGAATATTCAGAAAAACCTGTTTTAGCTGATTAGTGTTGAGTTCTCTTCAGTTACTGGGTTCAGCAGGTCCTGACCACAGGGCTTTGGGAGAGAGAAGGACGATATTCCCATCTCAGGTTACCTGTCCCGTCTCCCGGACCATGATGTTGTCGCTGTGCCGGTCCCCAATGCCCAGCACGTAGGTGGCCACGCAGTAGCCAGCACAGGACAGGGTGAACTCCTCGATGGCTTGGTCCAAGGCATCTCTAGAGAGGGTAAGAAAGAGTGAAAGATAATTTTCCTTTGGACTCCAGTAGTGCCCCGAAGGGAGAGCTGTTTTCAGCTGCAGGAGAAGGGAGGGAAGCTCGTTTGGATGGCTGCAGTGCTCTCTGGAGGCAGGACTAGCACCCCTGCTTTACAAAAACGGGCTGCAAGAACTGCCTGTAACCGAAGGGGTCTCAGTGAGGTTGTGTCCACAATGGAAATGAGATCCACACAAGGTGGGCCAGGTAGGGGAGCAGCCACAGGCTGGAGCTGTGCATGGCAGAAGGAGGAGGAGCAGGGCAGGAAGCAGGGAGGGGAAGGTGAGCCCCTCACCCCGGGTTCTTGGACTTGAGCCAGTTGAGCAGTGCATCCTTGTTGAAGGCAGCTGTGGCCACCATGTTGCTCTTGTTGAGCTGGATGTTGGCGATGGTGTCCGAGTGCATGACCACCTCAATCAGCCCTGTCTTGTCTCCTGTGGAGAGGCAGCCATAAGGGGTCATCCTGCAGAGATGAAAGAAACCCTTCCACTGAAATCCTGCCCGCAGGTTTCAACCTTTCCCTTGCCTGTCCTGTCTCCTCCCTTTCTACTCTGCAGTTTTATTCCCCAGCCCCACAGGACCTGCCCAGCTGCTCCCAGAAGCCCAGACAGACCTGCTGGGGGCAAAACGAGCTTGCAGAGAAAACAGCCTTGCCTCCCCTGATGTGTCAGTGCAGGAGGACAGCTCTGTGCACGCTGCTCACCTCAGGTCCAGGCCCTCCTGCTTCCACAGAATGTCCATCAGCTGGATCATCTGCAGAGTCAGCATGTCCTGGCGCAGATCTGGGCAGCGTTAAAGAGAAAAATATCACTTTACTGCTCAAAGGTATCCAATTACCACTGCACTAAAATCTTAATGAAACAGAGAAGCAGCTGAAATACAGAGTTAATATATATTTTCAGATTACTACCCAAAAACATTAAAGGTCCTCATTTACACAACATCTTAATGGTCCAGATTTAGGCCCGCTCACCCCAGTAAATACTTAAGACTAAAAGATACATTTTCACAGGCATAATAAAGACTTACCATCTCCATTTTTAAAAATTATACCCACTCCACCTCCACCTGTCTCTTCATTATTAAACACAATCCACAAAGGTTTCATTTTGGAGTCCATGAAGGTGCACTGATCCACACTAGAGGAAATAAAAATACTACCATCAGTTTCCATCTATTAAAATACCAGCCATCCAGGCTGCCAGTCCTACAGCAACTCCACCTCTGATGGACTTGGGATTTCCATGAGGAAAGAACCTTGGGATAACCCAAAGCCTGGCTCCAGTGTGAAACAAAGCACAAAATTCACACAAATTCAGAGGTGCAGATCTCTCCCTTACCAAACTTCAGCGAGGATAATGTTGGGGTTCAGGGGGGACTGGAGGTGGGAAAGGGCTTCCCTGTAGGTTTCCTGCTTCATGCACATGTGCATCATCTCCTTGGTTTGAGGCTTGGTGGCCTTCTGAGAACTCACTTTCACAAAGTCATTCAGAGCTTTCATCTTGTTCAGTGCTTCTCCCTGAAAAAAGGGAGGGATGAAACCAGGTTAACAAATAGGAAATTCCTGAAGAAAGTTTAAAAAATATTAAGATGATCTGTGAAATGTAAACCTTGGCTCCATCTCTTACTTCCTCTTCAATTTGTAGCAATTTCACACATTGCAGCAAAACAAATTTAGTAGTATCTGCTTGAGGAAGATGCATAATTAATTGTGGATAATTTGTGCTGGACACAAATGCCTTGCCAGGTAATGACTGAAGCAGGAATAAAACACATTAGCAGGAACCAAAGGAAGGAGTGAGGTGCACTGGCTGGAAAGGTGAGGATGAGCCCTAGAGCCCAGCCTGCCCTTCAGTGCTTTTGGGGACTTCTGGCTGTGCAAAAGTGCTGCTCAGTCTTGGAAAGCAGCAGCACTGGCTTGTGGGCGCATCCTGGATACAGCTTTGTCTAGAGATGAGTCCCTCACTTCTCAATTTGCTACAGTGACCCTTGACAGGTAAGAGAGGTTTCAGAGTGGGAAAATGCCAGCAGCACCTGCACACAGCAACTGAAAGGGATTGCAGTGCTCTGAATGAGCCAGCTGAGATCAGCTCCTGCTGAGCAGCTCACCCAGCTGATCCAACAACAGCAGTGCTCAGAACATTTCAGACCTTCCTAGACACCGACTGCAGCCAGGGATGAGCAAAGCCACGAGCTGGGGATGTCCAGGACACACCCAAACCAACAGCCCTTAGGAGGCTTTTCTTGTGTTACTGGTAATGTTCCTTTGGGAAAGCCAGCAGCTGGGAACCTGCCCTAAGGGAAGGGAACCTTATGGCCCAAAGCAATCTGTACCTGCTTCATCAGCACCTTCATGTGGTGGGTGCTGCCCCGGCAGTACGCTTCCAGGATCAGGCCAAACCTCAGGGAAACGGCGGCGACGTGCATCTCTGACCTGGGCAGGGAGGCAGGGCAGGAGGAGTTAGAGCAGAGCTGGCTCACTGCACTGCTCCTCCTCCCATTCACAGCAACGGGGGAACAGCACCACAGGATCTGCCTGCTGCTGATGTAATGGGGAAGGAGAAAAAATGCCCCCAACCCCAGATGGTGACGGAGGAAAACCATTGCTTGAGGTGATGAAACATCTTTCTGGGTGACTCAATCACCAGCCCCTCCTTTGAGAACATCACTTGGGGAGCAAGAACAGTTCAGAGCTTATGGCTCAGAGCTGGCAGGTGGCCATGGAAGCCCAAAGCAAATTCCAGCTCAGATGCATGTATGTGTATAGCCATAAATATATATAAATAAATATATATAAATTCTGAAAACAGAACCTAACCCAAACAACAGCACTACAATGACAAAAGACAAAAATAAATAACAAAAATAAATACTTTGTCCTCCTGGAATAATTCTTACTGAATCACCCAAGGGAAAAAGTAGCAGTTCCCACTTCCCAGAGCAATGAAGGACTCAGTAAGTGCTGGTTTCACTCGATTACTGAGAAAAAGCCCAAAACATGTGCTCTTCACCTCAGATGCCAGAAGAGGAAGTGGCCGATCTTGCGGTTGGATAAAGCCCTTTCCAGCAGGAACTTGGTTAATTCACAGTCTAGGTAGGATTCATATTTGAGCACCTGGACAAGCTGCAGCAGGTATTGGAACACATCATCATCCCTGTGGACAGAAACATGAAACACAGCCTTGTCTTCACTGCCACAAGTGTTGTTGTAAAAGCCTGAGGACAAGGCTGTCACTCCTGTTCACAGCCCCTCAGCAGCCCTGAGCAGAAATAGAAAGGGCTCTGCCTCTCCCCTGGGGCCAACACTTACGTCAGCTTCTTCAGGGAGTTGATAGCAAAGGAACCAACATAACGGTCAGGAAAGCTGAAATCCAGCAGCTCCAAGGCATTCAGGACAGGCAGCTCTGGCCAGGTCTGAAGTAGGGAAATCATCTGTAATGACCAAAAAGAAAATAGCAACAAAAAGGAACAAGGCTTTTATGACAATGGATATAAATCTGAAATTCTACTGATGAAAGAGCAGCTCTTTGGCGGGGGTGGGGGGGGTATGGTGTGTCACTGTTTATAGATGCCTCACAGCAAGTTTGGAGATACCAGGCCAAAAACTGAGCCCTTGAGGTGGCTTGTGCTGATCTCTTACTAACATTTAAGAATATTCAATACAGAACTCTTTATTCCCAAGAATTAAACAGATTTTTTTTTTTTCCCTCCAGTTTCTTGAAGGGATAAACAAGACCTTGCTGGCCAGTAATGAATCTGGGACAGCCCAGAAGAGCCAGACCTCAGCTGGTTCCAGCTGGGAGCTTCCCTGAAGGAACTGAAACATCCCTGCTCAGCTGGACTCCCAAGCACAGCACAGGAATGTAGACACTGAAAGATGGGGCAGTAAAGGTGCCCTGGCTGCCAGCCCCAACATCCTCACCTGGGCAACATCCTCGTGCTTGTTCCATTTGGTGATGATGAGCAGCTTGGCCAGAGCCTGTGGGTACTGGTCACGGATGTCGTACCTCATCTTCCACACCAGGTCCTTCTCGTGCTCGTACAGCTCCGTGTGGCTCCTCCGCTCCAGGATCTCCCTCAGCTGCAGCTTCTGCTCATGGCAAGCACAGCAAAGAGCACACACAGGGCTCAGGCTCAGCCCACAGGGCTTGCTCAGCTCAGAGAGACCCTGCAGGACCAGGGCACGACCCAGTTTGCTGAACAGTGCTGGGAGGGGGGAAAGGTGGAAACAACCAGCCCATGAAACCAGGCTTGCAGGCAGCTGAAAACTGATGCCAGAGGACTCACCTCCTCAGAATCTTCTGGTGCAGCTCGGGGTTGTTCTCCATTCCTTCCCAACTCCAGCAGCTGGGACACAAATAAAGAGGGTGAGAAAGGCTCCTCAGTTGCTCTGTAACTGTAGTCACCATCACTTCAGGCATGCTGCCCTGGAGATTTTCTGCCTCTGCCCGGGCTCCCCGTTCTCCCTGCACAGCCTATTCCAGCCTCTGAGCCAGAGCCTGCCTCACAGGGAGCACACACCTGGCTCTGGCAGAGCAGATCTCCTTCCTCCCCTCTAACAGGCACATTTCTTCTTCCACTTGTCTGGCCAGTGACAGATGGAAAATCACCTCACACACGGTGATTTTGTTACCACTCTGCTGAAAGGGAGGGAGCTGCCTACTTTCATTTCCCCTTAATTCCTCTTCCTTCCTACAGAGCCTAATGCAGTTTGAAGGCAGCTCACTAAACCCATATTTTAAACAAATGCTCATCTATGAGAGCAGCTTTACCTCAGTAATTCACAGCTTGGAAAAGCATTCACTCAAAGGTCCATTAGTTAAGACGAAAAAGTGAAATTTTCAGTTAACAATCTCTATTCATCAAGTTTGCTTGCACCCAGTCCCTGTCGATGGCTGCCCCAGAGGCTCCCCACTGGAAGGGACAGTGAGAGAGCTCCTGTGCCTCCCAGAAAAGTGTCCCTGTGTCCCACCTGCTCGAAGGATGGGTAGTACACAGGATGTGCTGCCACGCTGGGGAAGCAGATGACCAAGGCAGCTGCACTCTCTGTGTTGGGGTTGCACTGCACTGTGCCCATGGGGTTCAGAAGTTCCCCTTTCTCATCTGAAAAACAAAGTACATAAAACCCATGAGCCCAAATCTTGTGAAGCTTTGGTGCAGAAAGCAAAGCAGAGACTGGTCACTGCCTGGCCACGAGCACTTCACCCTCCTGAGCTCTCCCCAGTGCGGGGCAGGTGACACCCTCAGGTGAGCAGCCACCTCTCAAGTCACACCTGCAAAGCCAAGCTCAACAAAGCCTTGCCTTGGCAGGCTCCAGCTGCCATCACAGCACAGAGCAGCGGCCACTCCGCTTCCCAGGGAGACTGAGGATGCCAAACAGCAGCAGCTCCCTCTCCTGCCATACCTGGGAAGGAGGACCACATGTGCAGGCAGCACTCCCCTGTTTTCAGCTGGTCCTTGTAGTCGAAGAGCATCACATTGACCCAGGCGATGGGACAGTCCTGCGGGGAGACAGCGCTCGTGGGGGGCTGCCCCTGCCCAGGGCAGCAGGGCAGGAGAAGGCCTGAGAGATTCCCCATGCAAAGGGACATCCTGTCTGCTCACCTGCCAAGTTCTCTCAAATTAACAGTACAAGATGGCACTGGGCACTTGCCAAAACCTGGGGTCTTCTGTGTGGTGCTGACTGGCACCGAACACTCCCCACAAATGCCTCTAAAACTTCACCACCTGATATTTGGCATAGCTGAAGAATCTCTCATTTTCCAATAAGGCCTTGCTACTCTACACTCAATATTTGAGGGAACTATTGCATATTTTATATATTTCACAATTTGAGGGGGAGGGAGAAGAACTTTAATTTTTAAACAGGGAACTCAGAGCAGGTATGATTTTGGAGAACAAGACAAAGGACGCTAGAAATAGCTCATAATAGGAAAAAAGGCTTGGCTTCTCTGTACAATAATAAACACTATCTATAGAAATCAAACCTAATGCTGCCAATCCCGTACCACACCCCCAAAATAAACCCCACAAATCCAACCCAGTCTCATTTTGGAGGAGGGACTCCAGCAAGTGAAGTGACTGGGACATGGCCAAGACAAAGAACCCGTCCCCTGCCCTCACCCAGCTCCCAGCCCCAGAGCAGACACACATTCCACGAGTGAGCTCAGCTTTCCTGCAGCCAGGTTCCCCAAATGGAACACTTTACCTCATGCAGCAGCACTCAGAGCTCAGAGCACACCACAGCTCAAGCACAGAAACCGACTGGAAAAGGGGCTACGTGGCAGAAACTCTGCATCGAGGCACCCACAAACAGGGTCACGTTTGAAGGAACCACACTGAGACATCTGGTTCCACTGGGGCATTCCAGACAATGCACCAGCCTTACCCCCCAGAACACCCAAGCACTTGGGGGAGGCAACAGAGCCCCATTTTCCCTCAAAATGAGTCACTTCCAAGTGGTCTCTCACAAACCTTGGAGCTGATTTGATTACTCCAAATATCTTCAGTAAAATCACATTTGAGACATCAGCTTCCAGATGACAAGGAAAAGCCTAATAAAACACCACCGCCAGCAATAACCTTTTCTATCAGAGTAAATGACATCTAACCACAGCTCAGAGCCTGCCAAAACACAAGGCAAGGTTTCTGGTGGATAAGGTCCAGCAAAACAAGGATCCAGCATTCTAAAGACAGACATCTCCTGCATGATTTAGAGAAACACTGAAAGCCAACCCTCTGGGTGACATTAACCCTCTGACTCACCCAGTCAGCCTGCAAACAAGCCTGGTTTTGTGGTAGTAAATAATTTAGTTCCACCTATCTGCTCTGGACAGTCTGCATATAAACAACATGTATGGAATTAACCTCTGAGTAAGGCAAAAAAATAACCATCAAAACAAACAAACAAAAAGTCAGGGTACACTCTGCAACCTGCCCTCACCAATCATTTGAATTGATTTCTGGGCACTTCACTCAGAGTTGTAGCTCACCATGGGGAAAAATTCCTTTTTGCAGTGCTCAGCCGTAGTGAATGTTGTGATTTTATACTAAAACCTCATCAGAATTCACCCACCTTTCCCAGCACCAGAACACACATGAATAAGATCCACTCAACAACTCAGCTAAATAGACTAGTTGTATTTTGGCAATCAGAACAGCAACATTTCCTTCTGACTGCTTTAAAACTGAAAATTATTCCAGTGTGACCACAAACATCCAGCCTGTGGATGAATCAGATCTTCTGTCCAACAAAAGCAGGAGCTGGGGTTCTGCTATTCTTGAACAAAAAAGAAATGCAACAATAGAACTGTTAATCCTGGTCCTGGCCTCAAAATGCTTCCAATGTGAAACCCAGAAATTGGTCCCCACAAGCAGGATTCATGAGCTGGCTGTTGCTCCCAGACATGGCTCCACAGTAACCCTGAGAACCCCACTGATGTCAGCACAACAAAGCTCAGTGAACCTCCCAACAGTGAGGAGTGAGCAGAACTGGAATCTTCTGTATCACACTCATCAGTGTCTCATTCCTCTGCACTCCAGCACAGATGGCATGAGTAACCCTCCTCAAGGCACAAGAACAGTCTTTGTGGTCACAGAAACAATAATTTGCAGAGGCACAAATGCATTTGCTGCTCATAAAGAAAACTCTCACATGCAAAGAGCTTGAGGCTTATGTTACAACTCTGGGAAATCAGCAATTCAATTACAGGCTGCAGCTGAAACTACTTTTAGTTACTAAATCATTAATGGGCTAGAAGTTTTGGAATGTGAGAAATGTCACTACCTCTGATTCAGATGCTCAAATCAAGAACTTCCAAAGTGACTTAACACTTTCTGTGGCCAGTTTGCAACACCTGAACAGTAACCTTGAAGAATCTGCACTTTTATTTTACCTCGCCTAATGCTTTGCCATAACCAATGTTCTCATTCCTCAGTTTATTCCCCCACCCTAGCTGGTAATTTGCTCCACTGGGGATTTGCAGGAAAGACCTTGTTAGAAAAAAAATGCAACAGAGATGATGGTTTAACCTCAACTACAAAATAAGGAAGTTGTGGAACAGTGCAACAGGGACATCAACATAAATAATTCCTCTTTAGGTCCAGTCAGATGCTGAGTCTGTTTCTTAATGGTTTTTCTAGAGAAGAAATTACACATAAACAGCCCTTCTTACAGGCAGACACTTCTCAGTTTCCTGCTGAAGAAGTTAGTGGCCATTATTCTGTAAGCTGTTTTATTAACATGAAGTTTTCTGAAAGCAAAGGGCACTTGTTTCAGAACGTGTCCTGTGCTCTGCAGCCTGGCCAGCCTGGCTCAGGCTGCCTTCACTTACAGCTTTCTTGGACTTCTTCTTTGTGGAACGAGCCTTCTTGGCCTTCTCGATGACGGCGTAGAGGGCGAGGCAGAGCCGGGCCATGCGGGGCAGGTCGCAGATGTTGATGTCAAAGTCCAGGCGCTGCTTCCACACCGGCTCCGAGCACACGCTCACCTCCGAGCTGGACACGGTCTTGCACAGCATCTCATTGCCATGGAACAGACCTGCCTGCACCACCAGCTGAGGGCAGCAGAAATAACAGGACACCGTGAACCCACGGGACTTGCCTTGTTTGCTGAAGAATCGCCAGAAGAGGAATGGGACAGGGCAGCCCCTCCCCTGGACAGGGTGTCCGACTCCTGTCTCCTGGTTCATTGAGACATTCAGTTCTGAAGTCTCTCTCTTCACTCACCCATCACCACCTCTCCCATCGCTCTCTTCTCAGAGCTGGGTCTCCCCTGCTGCTGTTGCAGCTCCCCTGCCCTGCCCAGCACTGTACAATGCCATTACCCCAGGGCAGCAGCTCTGCTGTGCTCCAGCTTTTCTAATGCTGGGCTGCTGTCTGGCCACTTCCCATTCCTGTTGTGCTGCAGTCCAGAAAGTGCCCCAAGGCTGAATGAAGCCCTGCAGGAGCAGGTGAGATCACACTGCCAGCCACCAGTGTTCCCCCACACAAACCAGAGAGATGGGACTGGGAAAGTGCATGCACAAACCCCCAGAGTGAGTCAGCACCCACCTTCATTCTCTCATCTGCATTGACCTTGCTGCCTTGCACCAGCTCGATGTAGAAAGGCTGCTCTAAGGACCAGAGAGAGCCATAGTTTGGCTGGAAAGAGAAAAGGGTTCTGATCAGAAACAGATGCAACAAAAGATGCAACAAGTCAGCACCAGAACTCATCTCCCATTCCATGCTTTTGGGTCCCATAGAGAAGAGCAAGAAGCCTGGGACAACCAGGGAATACGTGGAGGGGGCTGGAAGGCTGACAGGAAATTCCCATCTTAGACCCCAGCTGGGAACCTGTCCTGAGAAGGACAGGGAGAACCCACTGCTGCTCCCAGCCAAGACCAGCATGTCCACCAAAAGAGGAGCCCAGGGTGACCCCAGGGGCCACTGTCCCCTTTACCTTTTTCTTGGGGAGCGGGGGGGGCTTGGAGGCCGCCTTTGGGGGGCTGGTGAAGCAGCTGTTCTGCTCGTCCCTCATGGCAATGATGGCAGAGGAGTGCACCATGGTCAGGTGGGGGGTCAGGCCCCGCTGCAGGCAGCTGCGGATGTGCTGAGAGGGGACAGGGTCAGCCAGGGTCTGCCCACAGCCACCAGCCCAGGCAGGAACCCGTGCAGGAACTCAGGGAAGGACACAGCAACAACCCAATTCCAGTTCTCAATTATCTCCTCTTGCTCTATAAACCTGCAACCCGCTGGCCTCATGTTGCCAGAACTGAGAATATGAAGTGCCTTTTACAGCTGGCATTTCATCAATGGACTCAAATGGCTGCATTAAGGGAAAACACTGAGGAGGATTCAGCACTCCCAGCAGCAGTCTGCCCTGCCAGAGGAGCACATGATTCAGTTATTTGCCCAACTTTCAATAGGAGAACCCTCATCCCACCATACAAGCAAGCAGATATTTCCAGAGCCACGGGCTCTAAATGTATTTACACAGCACCTGGCACCCAAGGACAGGCTCAGACACTGGCTCCCCAAAAACAAGGATGTGTTAGGTTGCTGGAAGCACCCTTTGCCCTAAGCAGCATCCAGGTCCTGTCACTGATGTGCTGCACTCCTGCAAACACGTCCCAACCCACGCCCCCAGCAAGAGAAGGCCATGTGGGAACAGAGTCACGGATAAAGCAAGACAAGGCTCACCTGGAACTGGTACAGGGGGTAGTTCCCATAGAGATATTCACATTTCCCATTCACCTGCAGGGTGTAGTCCTCTGGCTTCTGCACAGTCTCGTGGCGGAACACAGTAGCCTGTTTCTTAATAGCATAGCTCATTAAGGTGATGGGGAACTCCCAGGGGGAGATCTGGAACGTGAAGCTCTCCTGCAATCCCAACAACACAGCAAACTGTCAGACACCAGCACAGGGCTGAAGTGGCACAGACAGGGAACGACATTCCTGCTGCTGGCAGTGAGGAGAGGGATGGGAAGGTAAAGTCACACACACATCAGCCACTGATAAGCAGGGATGTTTGCCAAACTGGGCAGGAGCAAGTTTCAGCAGTGCAAGCACAAGACTGGAAAGCAGGACTTTCAATTTTAAGCGGGATCACCAGTTCACGTAGTTGCCAGTCATTAAAACCTTCCCACAGCCATTCCAGCAGCAGGGCAGAGGCTGGAAGGGTCCCCATGCTCAAACACTGCTCTGGAGGCCCTTTTCCTGTGAGGGTGACCTTGCTCAACATGCAGAACAAGAACCAAGGGCAGGATGCAGGAACAGGGGCCCATGGCAGCACAGACCAGTGCCTGCAAGTAGTGTTTGCTGAGCATGAGCTGAGCAGGCTCTTGTGTTTCCAAAGGAAAGTCAAGTTTTGAATTCTGTGCTCCTTTCCTGCCCAAACATAAAAAGGTTTCCAGCCCGTGTACATGCAGCAACCTCAGCTTCCAGCTAACCAGTACACCCAGAACACCTCCCTCCCAACCATCTCCACAGGCAAAGGAATCTGGAGAATGAACACTGAACACATGGAAACACTGTCCAGGCACACATTATTCCGTCTCCACACACACAGAGGTTTCCAAAGGAAAAGCACAACCCATCAAACACTGTGACAGAAAGGTTTGTGCTTTACCCCACCAGACTGGAACTTGACGTTGACAAAAATGTTCTTGGTGGGGATTTGCAGAGAGCCAGTCCCGGGACCCTTGGCCATGGGCTCCAGCTGCAGGGGGAAGTTGTACTCCATCCACGCTGCCCAGCCGAGCTGCTGCCGCTTTGCTGCTTTCTCCTCGCAGAACTGGCACATTTTGCTGCGGAAATCGCTCACCTCGGGGTCCTGCACGGAGTCAAACTCGTGCAAACCTGGGTGGAAGGTAAGAGAGGAAGGCAAAATAAGCACCTGCAGCCAATGGGGGAAATGAACCTTTAACTCAAACGCCTGCAAAAGTCTCCCTGAACGCGTCTTTAACACGTGGCCAAAGCAGAGTCAGTCAAGCTACCAGCAATCGCTCATTTACGATGTACAGCCGCACTGGCTCGACACCCCAGCACTCTGCCAGCAGGAAGCATCACCTTCCCTGGGTCTGCACAGCCCCTGTTCCCTCTGCATCCACTGGAGGTGGGACCTGCTGACGTCCCGGTGCACGCAGGGCTCCAGCACTGTCCCACAGGCGGGCTGGGACAGGAGCACGTTCCCCCCACGCCGCCTGCCGTGACCCGTGCTGCTGAACTGACCTTTCCCAATGAGCAGGCTGATCTGGGAGTTGATGACCTTCTTGACCCTGTCTCCCTCGCGAGCCACGAGGCGCAGGACGGGCAGGAAGGGCTGGATGTCGCAGAGGCGGCGCTGCTCATCCTCCAGCTCCTGCTGCTCGGCCGTCTGGTTGATGCAGGTGAACACGTAGGCCTCGGGGTCACTGAGCATGTGGAACAGCGGCTCATACTGTGCGTGCTTCCAGAGCACCTGTGGGGAGGGCACGGCGTCACCCTGCTGCTGTCACCCTGCACAGTGTCACCCTGCACAGTGTCACCCTGCCACTGTCACCCTGCACGGCGTCACCCTGCTGCTGTCACCCTGCACAGTGTCACCTGCCAGTGTCACCCTGCACGGCGTCACCCTGCTGCTGTCACCTTGCCCCTGTCACCCTGCCCTTGTCACCCTGCACAGCGTCACCCTGCCGCTGTCACCCTGCACAGCATCACCCTGCTGCTGTCACCCTGCTGCTGTCACCCTGCTGCTGTCACCCTGCCCAGCGTCACCCTGCTGCTGTCACCCCACACTGCTGTCACCCTGCCCCTGGCACCCTGCACAGTGTCACCCTTCACAGTGTCACCCTACCCCTGTCACCCTGCACAGTGTCACCCACCACCTACCATCACCCTCCAGACTGTCACAGCTGCCCCCAGGGCCTGTCCCAACCCTCACCCTGCTGCTGTCACCCAGCTGTCCCTCAGCTCTCAGCTAAGGCAGGGCACAGCCCAAGCTCCTCACAGCATCCCTGGACCTGCAACCCCCGGCTGCTCCTCAGCCAAGTCTGGTGGCTCCAGCTGCTGCTGAACTGCTGGGTTGGTTTATTTGCAGGTGCCTTTAACTGACTTCCTTTCTTCATGCTTGCCTTTTGTTTCTGACAATGTTAATCCCTCAACCTGAGCATTTAAATAACCCCCACCTGAATATCTCACAGTCAGCACCTGCTGACTCTGGTCCTGTGAGCCATTACTCACACTGGAAACAAAACTGGGTTAAGTAACTTGCCCCCGGTAACATGAAATCTGTGACAGGAGCCAAGAGCTTCTCCAGTCTTGTCAACACTATCTAGTTCCCAAAGATCCTTCTCTCCCTGTGGACAGCACTCTCACATGACATCATATCCCTTTTTTTACTCTCATCCTAAGTGCCTGCTATTGGAGGCAAAATTCTGGAGCAGATGGGCCTCTGGTTGTAACAAAGACCCCTCACCTAACAGCTGGCACACGGCTGTTACCTGCTTGATGGTGCCCAGGCTGGCATTGCAGGGCACACAGAGGTTTAGGTATATGCCTGTGGGCAGCAAAAAGTCCACCTGGATGTTTTGGTGTTCCCCCTTGGACCAGAATTCCGTAGGGCAGTAAATGCCTGGGGGCATCCTGCTCACTGCTTAGCAACCACCTGCAAGAAAAGGGAAAACCACCTGTTGCTGTTGATTATGTATTATTTGCTCAGTTTGGTGCTGGGCTCTGTAGAAAATTAATGTGCAAAAGAACCCAAAGAAAGGAAGGTCAGCACAGCCTTAAAGCTCAGGAAAACATGGACCTTAGTAAAAATTCCACTTCAGTCCTTTAAGCCACATAACTATAGCATTTGCTTCTATTTCAATGCGACCCTCTCTTAATCCCTTCTAGGCCAGGATTAACATCTACATCTGTATTTACAAAGAAATAAGAGAATTATGTTCTCTGGAGAACAAAGACACTTGTCCCAATGGCTCATCTGTGACCAGGCAGCCAAGAGAAACAGTAAGTTCCTACCCCTGGCTGTGTAAGGCAATCCTCAGGCCACATGCTCCAAGCTCCACTTTGTTTTTCCAGAGCTCAGTTCCAGTCTGCAAGAGGGAGAAAGAGTTGTTGCTGGTTCCAAGTATGCATGCACTTTTATACACACAAACAAATAACACTCTGCTGTACATCCCTCCTCTACAAGTATAGAAAAATGAAGGGTGAGGCAATCAGAATAAGTTTGTTAATTCCATCTGCAGCTCGTCCCTTGGCAGGATGCTACAATTTATTTTCAGTATATCCAAGGAATGCAAAGAAGAGAACAAGAATCTGAATGCTATCAGGTACAAACTGCTGTTTTCAAACACAGGATGAAACAAAAGGCATTCACCAGGAGCCTGTCAGGTATTTCCTTTCTCAAAGACATGTAACCAAGTCTCCATCCATTTGTCCACAAGTAAAATACAGCAATTAAATCTCCAGTTTCCTGCACAGATGACAAGTGGCAGAGGATGGTGTCCCCACGTGCTGGGAGACCCTGGAACTGTTGGCATTGGCTCCCAGCAAGAGACAGGGAAGTGGCTCTAACTAATCCTCTCCAACCACCCCAGCAGAGAAACCAGCTACCTCAATTCCCTCTCACCAGAGTTTTTCTGTCAGGTCAGCAGAGAAACATGCCAGTGGTACAGCCTGGAAGGTGCTCCACAGCCACAGCTCCACACTCAGCCCTGCTCAGCCCTCAGCAAGCCTGTGTCCCTTTTCCTCAGCCCATAAAACCAGCACAAAATTTCCCCATTCACAACTTAAAATACAGCTTTGCAGCTGTGGGTGTAGAGACTTTGAAAGAAGCTGAGCGAAGTGCTGCTGATTCCCAAACCACGAAGTTCTGCTGGCAGCTCCTCAGGAGCCAGCCCTGGGCTTCAGCACAAGGAGCCCAGCATCTTATCTGCCAGGTCCTGGGAACACACCACTTCCCTGTCAGCAGTGAGGTCAGGATTCCCAGAAACATGAGCTATGTTTTATCTGTCCTGCTTCCTCAGCACAGAGGCTGCATCACCCAGCGACCGGATAGAGAGACCACAAACCAGCCCTGGGCCTTACAGGGAGGGGAGCAAATGGGGAGGAGGCAAGGCTTACAAGTTCAAATATAGCAAAACAAGCTGGCCTTGTTTTCTGCTCATCAACAATAAAAACAGCAGGTTTCTGGTGTATCTGCTACCTCAGCCTAAATCAGCAAACTACCACAACTCTACTGACCAGCAGAGACATAGACACAGCAGTGGCTGAGCTGCTTCCTTCTGCTGAGGATTTCTGTCTGGCACCACATCCCAGAGAATATGAAGTGCCAAGTCTAAGCCATGAGCACTACAGTGTCAGCTCCAGCTCAACACCTTTCTTTCCAAACTCCCTGATTTAGAGGATGCAGGATTTTTTCAACAGAACATGGCATGAATATACCAAAGGAAGAATAAGACTGGAATTTCATCATCTCTAATGCATCATTTACCAAGTCTCTCCCCTTCCCATTGCTAAGTTCAGGATGTTCTACTTGTTGGAGCTCAGATGTGATGCAGAGTGACAGTTCTTACACGAGGCCAGCTCTGTGTAGATGGGTACTCCTGCACCACCCGACTTCCCTCTTCCCCTCTGCCTTGGGAAACTGAACACAGTTCTCCAGGTTTTTTCCCACCTTCCATGGAAATGCTCTGGTTGTATGGAAACCACAGGGATCAAGCTTTAAACAACCACTGGGACTAAAGAATCCTTTGGCTTGAGCCCTTCCCTTGATGAAATAAAGATTTCTTTGAGCCTTTAAATTTTTCAATGCCCACCTTACCTATAACTCCCACAAAACAGGCTCACAGGGAAAAGCAATGGAAGCAGAACTACACTAATGTGATCTGAACTGGGGATAACCTTGTTTGTGTGCAGGGCTGATGATGAAAGGGCTTGTCAGCAAGAGAAGAGATAGGAAAGCAGAATGTACACGTGGTGATAAAAACAGGCCGCAGTTTTTGGGGCTCCCAGCTCCAGAAGAGCATCAGAGCACCATCATTCAAGCTCAGCAGAACATTAGATCCAATCAGAAGCAATAGCCAGAGGCAGGGAAAGAGTAGCTCAGGCAAAACAACTTAAGAGAAAAAGAAATGTAAAGCCATTCCTCATTCTGGGAGTAAAACAGTATCACTAGAGAGTGGGAAAAGTATCTGATGGGAGACTCAAGAGCCCTTCTCTGGTGGAAACCTCCAATAAGCTTTTAGGCAAGTTCACAGTATTGCCTGAGGAACTACCTAGTAGGAAACCATATATTTTCAGTGGTTAATGCAAAAGCTGGAAAACCAAACTCTGCAAAGCTCCGTTCCCAAACCTGACAATTGTTTGCTGCACATCAAACAACGAACTCCTCTGTGTTTCAGCCTTCTCACATGCTCGAGTACAGCCTGTAACTCATGAGGGATGTTGTAACTCTTAAATGCTGGCAAACTGCTGTGAGATCCTTGTACCCTTGCTATTACTGCTCACACAGGCAGAGCCTGGGAGTTGGAGGAAGTTGTGATAAACGAAAGCTTCAAGCTGAAGAAGTTGCTGAAATTAGGCTTTCTCAACTGTTCCCAGTGGCTCCACAATACCAGAAACCCGAGTCCATCTTGCTGATGATAACCAAAAACAAGTTATGCATTTCTAATGACTTCTGTCATGACATTCAGGTTGCCATCTCAGGCACATACAGCAGCAAGATGTGTTCGAGACTCTCTTCTGAGAGCTCTTAAAAGACTCCCTCATGCCCTGCCAAAACCATCATCCAAAGCTAACCCACAGCAGAAGCACACATAGCTGTCAACAGCTGAGCCAGAAGCACGAGTCCTACACCAGGGAAGGCCTGGATGACCAGGTGTTGCCACTCCCCAAGCCCGGGAGTGACAACTGTGGTGGCAACGTGCCATGTGCCAAACCACCGTAAAGGCCAGGCAGACACCAGCAGCAGCAGAGCGGGGGGTGGGCCAGCAGGTGGTTACTGGCCAAAACAGCCAGCCCCCCTGCCATCCATCCATCCATCCATCCATCCATCCATCCATCCATCCATCCATCCATCCATCCATCGTCACCAGCACGGAGGACACAGCACCAAGGGCGGCCCCAGAGCAGCTCCAAGCTCGCACGCCGCGGTCAGCAGCTCTGAAAAGCCCCGCGGCCCCGCAAAGCCCGGCTCTCCATAGAGAAAGCGCTTTTCCCGAGGAGCAGCGCTGCTCGCTGAAGGCGCCCGAGCAGAGCCGGCCTTTGCCGCAGAC